TGCAGGAAGCAGGAACTCCAGCTGTCTTTAATCTTTTAAAGTCTTTTTTTCCCCTTAAGTCTTTTTTTCCTAGAGAAAGGTTATGAGTTGAAAGATATTTAATAGTATCTTATCATATCCCACATACATATAGATACCATATAATTGTTCTTCCAAATCATGGAATTTAAAGCAAAAAAAAAAAAAGCTAAAAAAAAAAGCTAAAGCAGTTATAATTATATAATATTTGAAACATTTATTTATTGATTAGCAAATAGTTTCATTAAATAGGCAACCATATAAAGTAGCTCTATCCAAAAATTATTTTTAAATAAAATTTTTCTGAAGAAAATAATTACAACTTCATATCTGAAAGTTAAAAGGAAATTTTAAAACATACTTTATATTGATTATCTGAATATTACAAAATAATATAAGCAGAAACTATGGTTAGTCATATTTATTTCCAGAACTATGTTGTTCGTATTTTTCTAAAGAATGAGTATATTTTCAATATTGTCTTATTTAAATTTGTGATAAAATTATACCCTCTTCAATGTTACATTTATAGTTAATAAGTTTTAAATTGTCAGTGCCTTTAATTGACTCTTCTATGTCATTCTTAATTTAAGGCATTTTCACTGAACACATGTTGAGTGAGGTTTCTGTTAACTCAAAGGAAAATCTGCTAAATGGAGAGTGTTCTCAATTCTACGTTTTGCATAAAATGCATATATTAAATATGTTTTATAGGAGCCATATTTTTATTCTATTCAAAATTATTTTCTTTGAAAAACATGTTTAATGATAATCTTCATGAAATAAATGTTCTCCACATGTAATTCTTTTGAATGTTTGGCAAAACTTAGGTGCTGCAAAATTGTAGGCCTTCTCAATTTATTTCCATTATGTTCTACCCTATAAATTTGTCCATGAAATATAGGAGCCCTCTCACATATTGCTTCCCTCACAGCCAGCTATTCCAAAGCACAGTTATAACCTTGTATACTTTTGAATTTCTTGAATTTATTAGTGTATTTATTGTGTTATACAGAAATAAATATTGATATCCCTTTTACACGTAAGTACAGCTCACTGGAAAATTCAAAAACTGATTGTTATGTTTAATCAGCTGTAACTGATTTTGAACAAGATATAACCAAAATTTAGAGAATTCTTTCACTAAAATGTAAAAACTTCTCTGAAACATATAGGTTTATTTTCAAAGTCATTCTTCAGAAGTTTAAAAATTTCTGCCATGTTCCACTTTTTTTCCAATATCAGTTTTGTCACAAAAATTTAGTTTGTTTTTCTGTGAACATTTAACCTTAATAATGAATTTTGCAAGTATCCAATTGTGTGACTATTGCAACTAGTTTGTTTTAAAATATGAATGTGTATGCACCACAATAAAATCCAACTACATTTTTCCATTCCTTTCTTAACTTAATCAAAATGATGTATATATCATGATATGCTTACGAAAATTTATATCTACAATTTTACCGCAAGAACAAATAACTTTAACTTTCAACATTTTTACTAAATTTTAATACCATTCCTAATACTATCAAATGTTCTGCCTTCAAAAGAATAAACTTATAAAACTTTATTTTAATTCAGTGAATTGGATGAAAGAAATCAAACCATTATTGAAATTAACTACCTATTTGAAGTCTCTTATTTAACTAATATCAATCAGTAAATTCGTTTAACTGTGTGAATTTATTCTGCTAATTAAGCCAATACATTTATAAGGATACTTTCATTGTTGTATTTACAACAGAAAATGGAAATAATTTTGTGACAGATCTAAATAAAAAAGACATGCTTCACAGAGAGATGTGGAAGAACACCTTCTGCATCTTCACCTAACTCATCACTGGCAGGCGGCTTTCTAAAATAATTGCTCACATTTAAAATAGATGTTAGTCGTTTTTCAAGCAGGGTGTATAAAGACCTAGTCTTCAAATTGTCAGTGATGTCACTAATACACTATGATGAATCATTAATAGTAACACAATTTACAGGCAAACTACATATTCATTAACAAACTTGCAGTGAAACAAATTTGAAATATTTTTTTAAACTGTAATTGTTTCTTTTGATCTTATTGCATTTTAAGTATTTATTATGAAGCAAAAAATACATATCAGCACACAATAAAAATATATAAATAGTTGTATATTTATACCAGGGGCTTGCATACTTTTTTCTGTAAAGGGTCAGATAGTAAAATTGCAGACTTTCTGCACCATGTGGCCTCAATTTCAGTAATTCAACTCTGCTATGGCAGTGTGAAAGCAGCCATAGATAATATGTAAATGAATGAATTTATGTTCCAATAAAACTTTATTTATAAAAATATGTAGAAGGTCATATTTGACTCCCAGTTTTAGTTTACCAACCCCTGATTTATTTATACCATGCAATAAATGACCAAACCTCTACAGCAAGAACATACAGTCAACTCTCTATAAACCCTGTGACAAGACTACTTAGCCTCAATTTGTCTGTCCTATAAAACATAGACATAACTCATAATTTCTGGTGGTTACCACTAACCCATTTTACTTGGAGACAGACAGCTTTGCTCTTGCAGAGCAGTATTATCAGATTCTTCTCTCACCACCAACTGAGCAAGGAAGGAGTCAGCTATATTTGTGGCTGCTTGAGACTTCAAAATCCCACAAACTGTCCTTAAATGAGAAATACACTTTGATTCTGGAAAGGATTGTGAAAAGAGAGGTAGATTATAACTGGTTAACTTGCTAGTTTATCCTCATATTAAAACAATATGCTACTATGTATCTTTCATGGTCCTAGAAAAGATCATAGAAATTTTAGAGTACAAAATGGAGATCAGTTAAACCCATCCCTGTTTATTTTAAATGCAATTGTGAATAACAGTACTTAGAAAATCCAAGACAAATGGTAATTTGATAATTGGGGACAACCGATATCTTAGCAATATTCTGTTTTACATGCCATGAGCATAAAATGGTGTTGTCATGGGCAAACTAGAATGATGATCCATCCTATTAGAAGATCTAGTAACTATAATGCTTTGGAAATTATTTTGGGAGCTATTGTATAATTCTGTGACATAAAGCCTTAGCCAAAAATATATAGGAAGCATCACATTTTAAAAGCAAGTATGTATGTATGTATGTATGTATGTATGTATGTATGTATCCATCCATCTATCATCATCTACTTATCTATTTATCTACCTGTCTATATCAATCAATTTATCCATCTATCTATTCAGTTATCTTATACATATTTTCCAATTAGTTTCAAAACCTCCAAGAACTAATACATGTATAATCATTTGCCCATTGTGATGATCTGTGCATATAAATATATGTTATATGATATGAGACAGAATTCATAAATAAATTGAGATAATAATGTTTCAAATGATCATATTTAAAGTCCAGAAACTATATTTCCAATGCTTTATCAAACAGTGATTATTACATAACTAGTCTTTATGTCAAGTTTTCTTTGCTTTTGAATTTCACTTCAAACTGAGAATTTTGAAACTAATTTTTTAAGGAAGTTATAGCTGTCATGCTAAAACAGTTTAATAGATCTTCTACAAATTGAAATAAAGACTGCAAAGAAATAAGATATAGAGTACACCAATCCTATTTGAAAACTAGTAAGCCTTTAGAAAAAAATATGTTCCTGATTTTTAGTATACCTCAAACACCGTGAAGGAGTATGAATGAGAATAATTCGCCATGAGATCAAACTACAATCTCAGACATTATAAAAGTAAGACTAAGAATTAAAAGTCAAGTCTAGAACTATAAAAATGTATTCTTTATCATAATTCCAAAATTGAAAATGTTATTTATGTTACCATATAAAGTAATTTACTCTAATTTTATAACTTCATAAGGTTTATTACAAAAAGCTCTTTAATGTATTTTTCTTGAGCAGTTCAAAGAACCATTAACATTCTCATTCTATTTATGGTCAGTTCTTGACTTATTTTCAAAACTTTTCAAGTCCAAGTTTGATATAAGAATAAATAATTGTTAGAAAATAACTCTTCAGTCTTCATTTAGGACTAACTTACAGCTACAAAAAGTAATTTTAATTTTAAGATTCAAGAAGTTGTATTTGCAAGACATGCTGAGATCTCTGTATTCAAAATGAATGATTTAGAGACCTCAGCATGGCATTGGAGGAATGA